AGAGAGAGAGCCGAGAGAGAGAGAGAACATGCGCAAAGGTCTCCAGCAAACTGATTTGCTTTGATAGGTGAGTTTTATTCCCAGACCAAAGGAGACTTTCACTACCCACCACACACACACACACACACACACTTCATATGCGGACACACACACAGCGTACTTGAAGAATGGTATTACATTATGTAGCTAACAAGATTTGATCCTTTGTCGTTAATTTTTCAAATTTAAGGACATAAAACTTTATAAAATTGACATGTTTATTCAAGATACAAATCTGATTTAGCTGTAATTTGAATTAGCGATTCATAGAATTCATACAAGACATTCGTACAATACAATGGTATAAAGATGTGCTGTCCGTCTAAAGTTGGTCCAGAGTGATCACTTACAGATATTTGACAATAGCACAAATTTAACAAAACTATTTTTACTTATAATGAGAAAATGTCAGCCAATAGTAAGTAAAGTACTGTACAGGACGTGATATGAGGGTATCTAAATAAGGAAACTAAAACATTTTGGTTGTGTTTATGATTAGGATTTTAGACTATGGAAAAAGAAATACCATCACTCAGTAGATAACAAGTTGGCATTTGTTTGACAATGAACTCAAGTTGTTGAGAGTTAGAAATGTGTGTAAAAAACCATTAATGACCACAGTCTTCTTCTCTTCCGCAATAGTTTACTCTCAAACTGTAAAGTATGACATATCTCTATTGTGTAGTTTTTGTGTCCCTTACTTACCACACACTTTATTCTTGTGTGGCTTGAATGTTTGTTGGATGCATCTTGCAAAAAGTTATTGGATTAAAAAGGGAGGGTTAGTTGTGCTTTATCTGTGTTGACTAGGATACAGCCATGGTTATGGTTTTTACATTTCCACTGGGAACACCCAAACTAAAAACGCATGAACTCAAAGCACTTTGGAAAAAAACATTCACTACCTGGCATAGTATGTTATGTTTACTTGTTGTCCTGCAGTATAGCATGATGTGGGCCGCAATCAAAATGAGCACTTTTAAGAAATATTTGAGGCACTACAGTACAACAAGCACTACACACTCTTATATTTGACTGCAGTGATAAAGAGCGCAGAGTAGAGGCCAGGTACTGTATCTTTTCATAAGGAGCATAAGGAGCATGCAACATAAAGAACTAAGAAAATGGTCTCACCTGGCAGATACATGTATTGACCCAAACTTTCCAGCTTTCCTGTTTCTCTCAACCAGCCCTCGTACATCTGACGTGCCACAGTCAAGGATTTATCACAGACACACATATTATAGCTTAAACAGAATGAAAATGCTTAAAGATTCCATATTATGTTAAATCAATATTGTCTCTATTTGCATACAGTACATGTCTAAAGCTAGCTGGCTATAGTTGTTTACAGTATTACAGTAGATCAAAACTTTAGAGATGTCTTTGTGCATCATGCGACCCTCATTTCAGACAATAAAAACTGCTATGATCTCAGATGTTGCCATCTGAATAGATTAAAGGTTGTTACAATCACATACAATTCTAGTGTGGATGGATTTAATATATATATATATTAATATATAATGCAAAGTTATTGTTTAAAGAACAGAAATTCTTTGTGTGAATCATAGCATGTTTGTTTGAAACATGAAACATGTGGATCTTAGGATGGAGGAACATTGGCCATCTCCCTCTGCCACCCACATTTCCTACTAATCAGCCAAAGGTCACAAAGAGCTACAGTCAAGAGACACAAACCTAAGCTAGACACTCTTTATGTAAAAACACATATGGTAGACACTCACATAGAGACAGAATGAGTGAGCAAAGATGATCTCAAGGGACAGAGAGCCAGCCTGCAGAAGCAGATCACAGCAGCCTCTAGCTGGATCAATGGGAAGGCTTTTAACCACAGATACACAAACTCACACTGTCCCTTCTTGCACACACACAAACACATCCACGCAGATGAACGCACACAAAAGGACGGCGATTGATGTCAAGTTGTGTAGTAATACACTGGCTTGTGGAGTTGCAAAGCAATTCAATTAGGATTTCCTTGTCTTTAAAGCCTGCAAAGAGCTGAGACAAATCCAATCGACAAAGACAGAGAGCACGAGAGAGAGCAGGAATGCGTGATAAGTTGATAGATGGATTGATAGCTCAAGAGCCAATCCAAAATCAAAGAGGCCTCCCAGACACAGATACACAATAATATGGAGGTTAGAACGCACTTTTATACAAGCGGACCAACACAAGCGTAAGCACACAACATACACACACATGCTGAACACCTGTGCATCAGAGTGTTATGCATAGGGATGACAGGGCGAAGAGCAGAGCAGCTTACAGTAATCTCATCACCAGCACACCACTAGGGGAGAGGTCAGCACATGCACAAACATACACAAGTTGAAAACACACACACACACAAACACACAGAAATAAAGAGGCAAAAGTGAATGAGAGAGACATTTGAGTATTATTGAACATTAAAGTGGAGGAATATTTGCTCCCTTCACTTGAAGTAGACAAGTAGCTGCCAATGACATGCATCAATCATTCTTAATGGAACATTTTGATTGATTTTTAACATGAGCATTCAAGGTCACAGCAACAGAGTCTCCTCTCTATGGTGTGTATTTGTGTGTGTTTCTGCACTATAAATGAGGTCAACAACTTCTAAGGGAAGGAAAGAATCTATTCTCTAGATATATCGAAATGTCGTCTATTCACAACTTCTTTTTCCGCATATCTTCTCATCTATTTCACTGTATAAAACCGAGCCATATCACAACCCACTATCTCTGTCTATTGTAACACTACCCACACAATAAGAGTGAGACAAACAGTGACCATTAGCACAAGGCTATGACCAACAGCTTCCTCTGTGACAGGAAATGCCACACAGTTCCTGCAGTATGTGTATGGGCCAATTTGGCTGAGCCCAGAACAAATTATCTGTCTTTCTCAATCCTCCCTCTCTCTTTCTGTGTGTGTTCGATCCATTCTTGCTATGATTTCACTTACAATTCTCTCTACGTGTTTGTTCTATGAAACAAAGCAGTCGGTCAATGGTGTATTGTTTGTGTATTATAAGTGTGTGTGTGTTTTACAGGCTCCATAATGTTATTGTTTGGTCTTATTGTGAGCAGTAAAGGAGCACTGTAGCCGGATGAGACAGAGATATTGTAAGCACAGCTAAATATGGAACGTGCAATGGGAAAGAAATGTGTATTTATATTTCCTTTTTTTGTGAAACAACTGCAGCAACTCATAACTTATTTTTCTCGTCTGTGTAGATGTTGAGTGAATAAAGCAAGATCTGGGAGGATGGGAGAAAAAGGACAAGAATCATGAAAGAAGATGGGAAGAAAGGTGAGGGAAAAGAAGAAGCTACAAAGGAGATCAGACAGGGAGAAGTGTGAAATGGGCAGAAAAGAAGAGCAGGATGGTTTGCAAGCTGACAGAGTTGATCAATAACCCACTCAAAGAACAAATGTGGCAACAACAAAAAAAATCTTACCTAAAGATTTGTCCTAAAAACTTAATTATAGGCCTGAACCTTAACTGCACACAAAAACATTTTAAACAAACCTTTATTGTTACTGTTTCTAAAACACTCATCAAGCCCTTACCCTAGCCTTAGCATTAGATGAAGTCTCAAACTAAATCTGACAGGATGGCAATTACTGTGCTCTTAACGTGGCATTGTGGGCAGCTAGGATTGGTAGATGCCATGTTGAGCGCTAGTGCTGGGTATTTGTCACTGTGGGTGCCCCATCTGCTGCTTTTGCCTAAAGATAAAAGAGGTGCATAGCGATTCTTCCTTCACTCCAACCCAATCTCTGATTTCAGGGCTGAAACACCAAGGTTACAGCACACTGTCACATTTTTGTTTATACTACTTCCTAAAAGAGTCACTAAATAACTATAGCAGTCTTTCACTAGAAAAATACATCATTCTTGAAGACATAGCATGGAAGAGATTAAAATACTAGCAGAGTTAATTAGCAATAATAATGGTTTAGATTGCACGATTATTTTTTTTATTAAACAGTCTATAACAAGAAAGAACAATGATCTGTGAAACTGTAAGACTAGGGTACTGAAATTATCTTATTAGTGTATATAAACACTAAGTTCCCAGTTTATCAGGCACACCTAGTTAAAAATAATGCAGTCTAATGCAATAATCCTGCAATGAATCCTCCTTTCATGAAGGTTATGAAGTTCAGTTTTTGTTGATTAAGAGAGGCGTTTCAATTGTAGTTTGTGGTGCTGTTGAACTGTGTTTCTGTTAACAGTTTATTTCACAGAATCAAAAACCACATGTGAAATTCATGTTTTCACAAATGAAATCTTGCACTGCATGTAAAAAAAGTTTATATTTTTCCCACATTTAGACCGTGAAAAAACATGTGCGTTTATGTCAATTTATCACATGTTAAATGCTGTTACACATTACATTAGATGTGAAATTGTTGTCAAAAAATGTTTCAACACGTGTAATCTATATCATGTAAATTTACCACGTGTTACATGTAGTAAAACTACATGCCTCTGTATGTGAATTTATCACGTGATGAGTTCACAGGTCATTTTTGTGTACAGGAATGTGCAAACAACACATTTCCCAATTGAAATCCCAATAAATAAAAAAACACATAATAAATAAATCCATATGAATGCATATAAATAAATGTGAGCTGGAGGAATTTGGCAGAGATAGAGAAATAGACAAACAGAGAAGGAGAGAGGACGATGAAAGGATACTCTGAATGGACTTCTCGTTCCCATCTGATAGCAGAACTTCTTTCACGTCAGCACAAATGGCAACCTGAGAGACAGAGAGACAGGAAAGAGACAGAGAAATGAAACAACACAGAACAAAAGAACAAATCCAAAAAGGACCCTTAGATGAAGCAAACATCTGAACACACACACACACACACAATAATGACATAACCATATCTACAAAGCTTCACTTTTGGCAGCCTAGCCCGCCCCACCCTCTCTCTCTATTGCTCCCTCTCCTCCCTGCCATTTCCCTCTCTATCTTCACCCCATTTTTATGTCTGCATTATTTTAATCATTCAATCAAATCAGTCAATACTTTTATCATTGTGGCTAGCAGTGGGGGCTGCTATCTTGCTATCACTCTGTTCAGTAATTGCATTGTGACAGGGGATGATGGCAAGCGCAGAGCCTTTTCATTTGACGCTGGGTGTTTATCGGGCCGAGCCATCACTCCGTTCGCCGCTGTCACTCTGCACTCGGCTCGCCGGGCCTGCCTGATGCCCTTCATATAACTTTGCAGAGCAGACTGTGAGAGACGAAGAGAAAGAGAGGGAGAGGGAGGGAGACGGGAGAATGGATAGACAGCTTTGTGCTGCACTGTGTGAGGAAGATATAGATAGAGAGGTGTGTGCTTTACTATAACCTCATCTTTTCACGTTTTCTTTTTCTTTTTTTTTTATATATCAGCAAGTCTGTGTCAGGCTGTCAATTTCTGTTAAGGAGTGTGTGTGTGTGCATATATCCATGGGTGAGTGTAAGTGCAAGTAGCTATTGTGTTGGTATGCACACAAGTCCTATGTGACTGATTCAATGTAATCTTGACACATATGGAATATAGAGAATACATGATGTAGCATATCAAGTGTATGAACATTTCTGAAACAAACACACATGCATGCACTGACACACACAAACTCACAAAGACACACACACATGTGAAGCCCCTGCAGGGTTTGTGAGGGGGGTCACTGAGTGCTGTGCATCCCACCATCTGCTCAAATGGAGGAAGGGACCTCCAGGCTGAACCAGAGCATCCAGCTGAAAGATCAGGAGCCCAACCTTGCAACCCATGAGCAACAACCCAACACCCGCAAACACCACTGTACACACATGCCGAGTCAGGCTATATGACATGCTTACATACTATAATCTAAACAAAGGTTAGCAAAATATCAAACTCTGTATGCCACTGTGAACTAGGTAATCTGATATCAAACCAAATACCATACATTTTGAGTCAGTGCTGTTTTATTTGATCGTCCCCTAACCTTAACCAAGTGTTTATTATTATAACAATGATGACAAAGCTCCCCTATTCTTAACAAACTCAAGCCACAGTCAGTTTCCCTGACCATAACACAGCACTTATTTGAACCCAAACCATGATCTTCCCTAAAACTTGTTATTGTGAATAATCATGATCAAAACCTTAACCATAGCACTGTCTTGTCATAAAACTTTCATTTATTTTTTGATTTGTAATAGTTTTTGAAGCCAGTGACAAGACTTGTTATAATTATAAAAATATATTTATTATATATATTTATATATTTGTTAATCTGTTTATCTGTTTATCTGTATCGTGGAGAATAATGCAACACACAAATGAGCACTTCTACAGTGGTTGAAAAAGGCTCTCCACAGGAAGAATAGGGGATCAGGTATGCTCCCTGAGGCACTCCGATAGCTGATTGTTAAAAAAACAACCATACTGTTTGTTAATTTTTAGGTGTGTTATTACTGAATATTAAGTGTTTGTCAAGTAATTTGGAATAATCTTGTAAAATAAAAGTTGGTCTGAAGCAGGAGTTGGTCATAAGATTTAAATAAAGGAATAATTAGATCAAATTTCCAGTAAAACAGAGAGAGACAATCTGATCCAGAGATTGGTAAAATTATAAATAAAATGGAATAAAAAGCATTTGCCTTTATGAAGTATGTACTAAATATATTGAACATGATTACTGAGAATTTCTCTGTGAAATCCGAATTGTAATGACTCTTTTAGCTTTCAGAGAAGTTCAGACAGGGAAAACAAGTTGAGTGTTGTAGAATAGAGTCATGGAGAAGTGAAGAGGTATAAAACAGCCAAGTTATTAACAAAGAAAATAAGTGACTCATTGAAGATGATCACAATTAAAGCTTGACTTGAATACAGGTATTCTTTTTGTCATATTTTCTTATGTAATGGTTTTAAGCATTTGTCAGTTTTTGGCTTAAAAGCTATTTGAAAATGTTGACTTTGACATGATACAGTTCAGTAGTACATTTGTTTCAGATCTTGATGATGAGATTTACTTTATTCTTCCCAGGTCTTACAGATCTGTACCTTTTGTAGTAGAGACCTTTCTGGCTCAACAGTTTGAGAGTGCCCGCATTTATTCATAGCATAATGAACTAATTAGTTTAATTATTTTATGTAGTTACAGAGGGAGAAAAATACTATTAGATTGGCTAAGGAGTGCTATCAATCAGTCATAACCAAAAAATACCATAGCACTGTTTTTCAAAAAAATGAAATCCTTTAAAAATGGGCTTAACACCTTAAAAATAAGGAATTAAATTTAAAGTTTTCTTGAACTCAAGAGTGCAGTGTGTAGGAAAGGAAGGGGGGGGGGGTGNNGGGGGGGGGGGGGGTCATGCATGTATATAAAATTGTAAAGAACAGAAAATAAAGAATTAAGCAGGGGGGTAAATGACTAAAGGAGTAATTAACATACTGTTGACAAGAACTAGAGAAAAAAACTTGAATGTGGTGTCAGTGGCGGATGAAGGAGGGATGAGGAGAAGGAGAGGTGTGAAGGAAGGACTCCATCTCAAGCCACCAATGTCAAAACATGGTGTATTGACTGCCAAGAGATAAAACCAGGCTTTCTCTCTCTCTCACACACACACACACACACACAGACACAGAATGGCATCTAGGAGATCGATTGGACACTGACGCCTGCTATGTGGAGGGGCCCTTAAGACCCTGGCTAATAAACCCTATGGCTGACAGACTGTGGTATATCTGAGTGTAAGTGTGTGTGTGTGTGTGTGTGTGTGTGTGTGTTGTGTCAATACAGGGCAGCTTTTAACACCCAAGCTAGTTCATATACCTAGGTGTCACGACTCAGGTGATCTGGTGATTGTGTGAATGTGCTGATAAACATAATGAAAGAGCATATTACAATCATTATATCTTATACAAAACTGAAAACATAAAATTGTTTTGGGGAAAAAAAGCAGTCTGCACAGGTTTTACCATCCATATCAAAGCTACAATATTCAGACAGTGTTTTGCTAGTATTTATGCCACGTTAATTACAATTTGTCATTAATCCAACAAGCCATTGTCCTGGTAGACATGCACCAGATGCTGTAAATGTGGGAGAGATTCCTTATGCAAATCCCTTCTATAGCCTGGTATTGAAAGAAAATTAGACCACATTCACAAAGTATTTTATCTTATCAACCATCAAATCATCATCATCATCATCCATAAATGACACCTAAAGTTGCTAGCTGAATGTTTTCTCTTAAGACATTTAACAAGGCTGCTGAGAGCAGCAGAGAACTACTAAGCAAAGACAAAATGTGTGGTTAATACTAAGGATAATGTGTTTCATGAATAAGGTATGGTTGAATCGGTGTTGCATAATTTAGGATAAAAATCAATAGCGAGAGGTACAAATACTTTTGACATATTAACAATGAAGGCATTTGTACAACCAATATAATTTAAAAGGAAAGCAAATTAAAGAAAACTGACAAAACAAACCAACAAAACAATCTGAGTTTACAATAAATGTGTGAAAGTGACAAGACACCATTTTTGTCCAGAAAATCCCAAACTGTTCATTGATTTAGGGGCTGTTTTCAGCTCAGCACTAATATTACTAGTATTGTAAATTACTCGTACTTACAAAGGACGGATACACAGAATTTTAGAAGTTATTCAAGCAGTAAGGGGGTAACCATAAGATGTTCTGTGAATATGCCCAAAGATGGTAGAAGGAAGACTGAAGAGTAGACATGTGACCTATTGTTAATTTATTGTGGTAAAGAGTGAGCATTTTAAAGATTTGTAAACACACACAGAGCCACATACGAAGTGAATAATATGTGTATGAATAAGTATGGATACTGTGTGCCCATGCTGTTTGTGTATTGATTGGTAAGGGTCAATTACATTAGGTAAACTAAGTCACTTCTCCTGCAATAATGTGTGTGTGTGTGGGGGGGGGGGTCACTTACCATGAGCCCAGCAAGGCAAGTCATACCTCCTCCTAACTCACACACTGCACCCCTGAGAGACAGAGAGGGAGAGAGAGAGAAGAGTGGGAGTGAGATTCAACTTGCTGAACCAAACCTAGCAGTTTAGCACCAACACACACAGAAGCACACACACTGTACAGTAGATGCAGACAGATATACATATACACACTCACACACACACCCTATCATAGAAACACATGCACACACACACACAGTAAACACAGCAGGGTAAGAAATATCAATTCAACCATCAACCTGAAAGCTGAATACTGAACACTGAGAGGCACAAGCTCAATCAGCAGGACTCTGAGAAAACACACACATACACACACACACACACACAGTCCTGTAGCTTGCATGCTCATTCAACCTCTCTCTCCATCCCCTTCCTGCTTTCATCTCCCCTTCCCCTCCATCTCTACCCCTGTCCTCTTTCATCCCTCCCTGCCTCCCTCCCTCTTTTGCTGACCTTCACTACGCTGCTCTGATCAATACCCCTCTCTTCCTCGCCTCCCGCCTCTTGAATGTTAAAACAGGAAATCAAAGGGTGACGTTCCACCTTGAGTGGAAATCAAAGGTGCCTGGGTGCTTTTCAGCCCTGTGCCGCAGGGCAGGCCAGAGCTCCGCAGACAAGAGCAGGGGAAAGAGCAACACAGAACAACACAGCGTGGCATGGAAAGGTACAGAATGACATAAGTGTCAAGCATTTACTGCAGGTCCCAGTCAGATTTAAATTAGAACAATTTTCCTGAACATGGTGGTGTTGACGCATTCTCTGATAACTACATTTATTAACTTGAAATACTGTTAACAGGTTAAATGTAGAGGAATTGATATATTTTGGTGTAATTACATATTCTAAAACAGACACTGTTACCTCACAACAGCTATGTGTTAGCATTTCCAAGGATGTTGCTACTTTAACCTTCCTCCACCTCCCTGCTGCTAATTTGTGTTTTCAATTTTCTCTTTAAATTCACTGAAGAGGATAGTTCCACGATCTGTTATGACAACAAATGCAACGCTTTCAGTAAGTTTGCTCTTCCTGATTTGTATCATAAAGCAATTTCCTGTCATGCAGCAGGTTTCCTGTGAAATCAAACATGGTCGGAAGAAGCCCATCATCAGCTAATATTCTCAGTGTCTCATTTGTTTACAATGCAGTGATGTTTCAATATTTAAGGTAAATATTTTATTGATGTCAAACTGGAAACAAAAATGAAAAAAACTGCAATGAAAACATAATAGAGCCTGGTCGATGTAACTATTTACAGCTGCTAGTCTTTGTTTTCTTGGTGAAACGGTGGAGTCTTTTGACGATGGAGTGAGCAGATTCAAAGAGAGGAATAACTCACTTGAACATGTGACGTTTCTGGATACAGTAATGAGCCATCACCTCTTCAGATGGCCACACACCTAAACCAGAGAGAGACAGAAAGAGAGTTAGAGACTCAGACTAACTGATGTTCATTCATTTCTGCCAGAGACATTTATTTGCAGGCATTTATCTAGAATCTCTAGCATGACAAAGTGCTTTGATTCCAGTGTCTCAACATCAAAAAACCTTAATATTGATATACAACCCAAATAAAAACAATGAGTGTTCAGTGAATCATAATTGGATGCATTGTATTTTCCAGTCTGTGTTCATTTGCTTCTCTTGTGGTTTCCACCTTGCCTGTGATCCAAGGTTTCTCTGTCTGTTTGTCTGTCTGTCCGTCTGTCGTTCCTAAATCCTTGCAACACACTCTCTCATTGGGCACTGTCTATGCAAGTGTGTGTGTGTATTTGACAGGGGGTCCAGTGGGTGATAATCACAGCGTGCAGGCCTGTCTGGCTTATCACCTACAGTCAGCCCTTCTCCTTCTGCTGTGCATGTAACACACACTAACGCACACACACTTGCATGCTTGGTGCTATTTTCCCTCTGCCTCTCAACACACACACACAAACACACACAAACACACACATCTTGGCAGTAGAAAAAGTAAACATTCATTTGAATAAAACTTCAGCTTTTTGCTTCTGGCTTTGAACAAGAAGGTTCGGCTTGGCGCCGTTTGTGTGTGTGTGTGTGT